AGACAGACAGACAGACAGACAGACAGACAGATAGATAGATAGATAGATAGATAGATAGATAGATAGATAGATAGATAGATTATGGATGGATAGATAGAAGGATGGATGGATGGGTGGGTGGGTGGATGCAGTTGATGCATCATTAGCACAATATGAAACCAAAGAGTTTCTCTGAATGTATTAGTTGGATTTTTTTCCACTCAAGGTGCAAATTGGTGGTGTCCTCAGGAGTGGGTCAAAACATCAACATGGTAGTCACAGCCATAAATCAAGGCCCCACCTACAATAAACATAAAAAATGGGTGGGGCTTCGTTTATATGGCTGTGGCTGCAATATTGACTTTTTTTTTAACCCTCCTGGGTTCTCTGGCATAAGTCACAGCAGATGGCAGGTTAATTGCTGGCTGATCTTTGTTGAACTTGAAAAAGTAAACATCTCCTTTGGTTTTGCAGAACATGCTTGTTGAGTTTCACATACTTTCCATTAGGTACAACAATTTCCTGCCTTATTTCATCTTTGCAGTAATCTTTTGCTTGTTTGTTTGTTTCTCCTTTTCTTTATATTAGAAAGAAACTTGGGCAAGATGTTTTAACCGTGTTATTGTTCCGTGCTGATGCATAATTATTTTTGTGTTCATTATAGTAACACTGTTCTCATCAGTTCAAGAAAAATATAAGGATGTTTCTCTCTCTCTCTCTCTTCTCTCTCCCTCTCATTCTCTCTCTCTCTGAAACCTAAGCTTTTTTCCCTTCCTTTTAATAAGCAAGACTGCTCATTTTAAGGAATTTTCAGATCTGTAGGTTGCAAATTATTTTCGTGTCTGATATAGTATTGCTTCTGTTGTCATAGCACCTTCCCAAAAGCAGCATGTTTGATCAAAAACTTTGGACTGAAACAAAATCTCTCTTAGTGGCCCTTTGGATTCCTTGCATTCTCTTTTGTTGATCTTGAGAAAGCTCAGCAAATCAGATCAAGTTACTTTTTGGATGGGACACCATGAAGGAATCTCAGGGCTGCAGTGTAGACTAGGAAGTCTAGCCTTTGAAAAGAGACAACACTTTCCTAATCTTGAAAAAAACAAAAACCCACTTTCATAAATGTGTGCAGGAGGTCACCAGGACACAAACTTGACTCAAGAGAGATTTTCCCTAAAATAATTGGTCACACTTCTGTATGCCATTTTGTATCAACCCCAGTCCATATAAGCCACAAAGGAGAAACAACCAAACTGGAGCCATAAATTGCCCGTCCCCAAACACACTTTGCTATTAAGAAACACTGGGTGACCCATTGTTTGTAATACACTGGTTCTCTTACAACCATTTGCTTAGCAACTGTTATGATGGCATTGGAAAAAGTGACTTTTCACTAGTCCTCATGCTTATAACAGTTACAAAGCCCCATGATCCCATGATCAAAATTCAGGGACTAGGCAACTGGCATGTATTTACAATGGTTGCAGCATCCTGGGCTCATGGGAATATATTGAAATATGCACCTGATATAGAGGTAGTTCTCGACTTAAAGCCTTTCGTTTATCAACCATTCAAAATTATAACGGCATTTAAAAAGTGACCTACAACTGGTCATATCACTACTCTTGCAGCATCCCCATGGTCATGTGATCAAAGTTCAGGCACTTGGCAGCCAGATTGTATTTACAATATTTGCAGTGCCCTTAGGTCGTGTGATTGCTGTTTGTGACTTTCCCAGCTGGCTTCCATCAAGCAAAGTCAACGGGACCAAGGAACACAGTGGCTTGTGTAGTTAGGACACTGGATTGACAAGCAGAAAGCCTTGAGACCCAGGTGCTTCCATGGGATTGAGTGAGCCAGGTGCTGCCATGTCAATGGAGTGAGCTCCTTTCCTTGGCTCCAGCTCCTCCCGGGAACACAAAAGGAGCCCCCAACTGGGCATCCCCCCCGGCAATGGTGATGCCACCAGCTAATCCTTTCAAACTGGAAGTGCCTCGGTGTTTCTGACACAAGTGGGATGCGAGTCAATTGGAGAAGACAGATTCACTTTACAACTTCATGATTCACTAAACTGCTGCAGGAAAAGCAATTATAAATTGGATGCAGCTCACTTTAACCGTCTTGCTTTACAGTGGAAATTCTGGCCCCAATTGTGGTCATAATTCGAGGACTACCTGTGCTTGCTTTCGATGGAGGGGAATTTGCTTAGCTGGCCCTTCAAAGTGTCACTTATCACCTCACAAAGTACCTTACCAACCTTTGGAAAGCTGCATTCACACAGCAGAACTTACAATTAAAAAAGAGCTTGGAATGAAAAAGTTTGTGCTAAAGAAACTTACATCAGGGAATTTTACCAGTCTGTAAATGGAACGGAAGAAGCACAATTTCCATTAAAAAAACAGTTTCTCTGAAATTTATGCTCACAATTACATAAAACAGGAAAAGATACATACAAGTCTCCATATGTTTGAAGATAGTATGTGTATGAATATTTGGAATATTTTTTTCCTGATTTTTAAAAACAGGTTAAAAAACACACTGGGAGACTGAATTGCATGTCTCATGCTGAGCTTAATGAGATTATTGAGAAGTCTAAATACTTCATTGTTTCTCAATCTTAGTAACTTTAAGATGGGCAATTCCCAGAATTCCTGCAATATTGCACACTTAACCACTGTGCCACCAGAGTTCTCCATAGCTCACCCTTCTCTTCTTTGCCTCCCCCAGACAACTACACTGTGGACTAAGCAAGGAGACGATAAGCAGATCAAAACTAAATAGATAGCTTCCATGGCTGAGGATCTCCCAGGGACTGCCCAAAACCTCATGATCAGGTTGGCTCTACACAAAAGATCTGTCCACTTCTCAATTGCTTGCTCATCCTTGCTTCTAGCAAAGTACCCCCTTCCCCTATTTTTATTCTCTCTCTCACACACAGACACACTTCCTTGGTTCAACAAGTGCCTCTGTTCTGGCATCCCTGGGAGGTGCTTGTTAGCAGATTTGACTTATGCTTCTCTTTAGACAACAGGCAGCCCACCTGCTCTCCATCCATCAATTCACACTTTGATGCTCTTGCTACCCAGGGTCTCCCACACACCACATCAATCACATGCATTTTCTTTATTCGGCTTGTCTCCCATTCCTTCCTAAAAAATGGATTTTCTCTCCTTCATCTCTTCAGCTTCTTTTCAAGTTTGTGTATTTGTGGGGGAAAAAAATGAGGCAGATTTGATTCTGGCACCAGACAGTGAATGAGTGAAGCTGTTGCTCTCCTTGGTGAGAATATCTAAGAAAAAGGAGGGCAAGGGTTAAGCTTGGCAGAAAGCAGAGTCTCTAAAGCAGCCCAGAAGTTCTGCCTTTGGCAAATCAAAATCTGGTTTTTTTAAAGGGATGAAATAAATCACCTCCCAGTTGGACTACTACAGCACACTACACATGGGGCAGCTCTTGAAGAGCGTTCAGAAGCTGTAATTGGTCAAGCAGAAAATGGCACATGCAGTTTTGGGTGCACATGGTACATCTATGCAACACCACCGCTTTGCAAGCTGCAGTGGTTTCTAGTAGGCAAGTCAAAGTATTGGTCATCACTTAGAAAGCCCTCAAAACCAGATTATTTGCAGGACCACCTGTCTCTCCCTCTGCTCATCCCACCAGATCAAAGCAGACCTGCCCACCCCATCAGGCAAAGTAGACTTCCTCCAGGACCCCTCTGTTAAACAGGGTCACTGGTTTGGATCCAGGATAGGGGCCTTCTCTATGACAGTAACCACTTTATGGAACAGTATCCATCTGATGGTTGGATGGTCTTGACCCCATTTTATACTCCCTTTCCTGCTTACCATGGATACTCCTTGTAAGGTCTACAGTCACGGATGCCATTCTGCTAAGCTATGCACATAAACAGCCTGACACCAGTAATGGGGGGAAGGAGCAGTCAGGGAAGGGACACAGGGTGGAACTCAGAGGAATCGAAACCAAGCAGTACCAACCCATGAGAAGCACCAGCAATGTCAAGGTTACACCAAAAGAACGTGGAGCGGGAAGAAAGGGACTTTTCCCCCAAACAATTTGTTAACACCTGATTGGACATTGCCTGATAACTGGGGGTGTTGGGGAGGGTGGGAACAAGGGAAAGCTAATTGTATTTTTTGCACGCAAAAATCTCAGGTCCGGCTTTGCCTCTTCTGTAACCGCTTTAGCTTTAATAAAGCATACTTTTGGCTAATCATGGGCCAGGAGTCCTTCTTTCCCAACTGACCAAGTTGGAACAATTGACACCTACTGTTTTACATTTCATTTTTGAAAAGAATTTGCTTTAAAAATTCTTACAAGGGAAAAGAGAATTTTGGAGATCTTTCGATGAATGGATGGATTAATGGATATTCTGATGTTATTTCCAACACTTACTTTGTACCATCCTCTCTCCAACAAGCTACAGACTATCCGGGTTCACTTATTTCAAATAAATTGCAGGGGAAAATATTCAACCCTGAACTTTTCTATTCTGATATTCTTGATGCCACTAGGGGTATGTGCATGTGCATGCATGTGGCCATCTTTCCCTACTGTGATTGATGGAACTTTTCTCTTTTCTTAGAGAAATTTAGAAGCTCACCTGATTTCTCTGCCCTCAAATTTGGTGCAGAATTTTAAAAGGCTCTTTGTGCCACACTGTGGAT